CCCTTCTCAATCCGATTCTTGACACTGGCAACGTTAGTCAACATCAGCTAGGCGGTTTAGCACGTACGTATCGCGGCTCAACATCGCTCCAAGGCGCGCTCTGGAGCCCATTTCACTTAGGAAGTCGATTATGTTAACCGAGCCGAGCCAGTCTCTGTTGTTGAGGACGACCCTTCTGATGGGACCTTGTTGCTGGAAGCCGTGCTTAGCTGCCAGCGCTTCAACTTTGACCCAGAGGTCTGCAAGTTGCTGATGCATTTCAATAGCATTCTTTTCGCGGGTTTCACGGGCCATCTCGTTGCGTGCCGTCAGTCGGTGAGATGGATCTCCGATAGCTGCGGTACCTCCGCCCATCTAAAGATGTCAGCCTCAGACTCTTCAACCGGCAGCAACCTACCAACGACACCGCGTAGTACCCATGCAAGTACATCCAAAAGAGAGCCATAAACGGCACCATGTGGCCGACGTGCAGGCTCTGGGCAGTGGGATCTATGCCGACGTACACACCGACCCGCTTCTCTGTCAGAAGGGTTTCGAGATCATCACGGGTTCTGGGGAACTGTTAGCACAGTTCAAAAGATTGTTCCATTCCCAGTACCCAGCTATCTGATTGACATATCCACGCTCCTCAAGCACTCTCAAAACGCTTTTTCTCCGGCCCGCTTTGATTTCTTGTGCCAACGCTTTCCATTCCTCATCGACGTCGGACGGCGAAAGTTGAGAGGCTTTGCGCCTTTGCACAATCGGCAGACCATAGCGCACTGAACAGCCTCGACTTACATATCGCGCCGCGAACCTCCCGCGCAGGAGTATTGGACTTGAAGCCATTGGAAAGAAAATGGGGTCTGATGCCAAGCGGCCGGGGAAGCCTAGGGATCTCCCAATCTCGCATCAAAAGAAACTTGGCGTGGTGGAGCTTGGACCCGATAACCCGGCACCTTTCGCGTGAAGGCGCGCCAACGCGTTGACGTGAACCCATTTCCCGCTGCACTTTCGACCCGTCCATTGCAACCCCCAACTTCACCCCCCAAAACAAACCTTCGCACAACCTCTTTTACCTCTGCAGAACCGTTTCCCAGCCTTCACAATGGCTAAGGGAAACGACAGCGCGGCTTCAACGCCAAAAGGCTCAGTCAAAAAGACGCCGTCGCAGTCCACCCTGAAGGGCCAGAAAAGCATCCTGGGTTTCTTCTCAAAGACCACGCCTAAGCCGGCAAACCTCGCGACGCGCCTTGCCGCGACTCCCGTTGACCGCAATACGCCGGTTCCAAGCAGTGATCCGGTTGCTCTTTCTAGTCCCCTGACCACTGGGCGCAACAAGGAGAATGGTCGGGCTTCTCGTCCTGCCGCAGTGAAGCGTGCTGGCGAGGACGCAGACGACATGCCTAGCTCACCAGTGAAGAAGGTATGTGATGTAATTGCGATATATTTTCCGCACTGACAACTTCAGGGGAGGAAGGCCGTTAAATACGCGGAGTCGGAAGATGAGGCCAATATCGACGAGGTCTTCAAACCTGTCGACGCAAACCGGCGTAGAGTGAACCCCAGCAAGCGCAGAAAGACGGCCATTGAAGATTCTGACGACGAGTTCGGCCTTGATGCGGACACGGAGGCCGCCATGCTTGCGGCCGAAGAAGGCATGTTCTATGTCCAGTTTCATAACCCTAGCTGACGTACCAGACATGGACAACTTTGTCGTTCCTGATGACTCTGATGATGACGTTGCAGCCTCAAATAAGCGCAAGCGGTCCGCACCGAAAGCACGCAAGGCGATCCCGTCGTCCCCTCCGCGCCCGTCCACCGACAATGAAGATGTGGAAATGGACGGGCCCACGGCTACGGCTTCACAGTGGGCGTATGATCCTGAGAATCCCGGTCCGCGCAATCCTTATAGGAAACCGGTTGAGGCCAAGAAGTCAGACAAGAAGCAGAAGGCACACATGAGCGAGCCTGACCAGCGGTATCCATGGTTAGCCAACATTAAGGATGCGGATAGAAACCCCATCGGTCACCCCGACTATGACCCGCGGACCATCTTTATCCCCCCCGGTGCTTGGAACAAATTCTCGCCGTTTGAAAAGCAGTACTGGGAGATCAAGTGCAAGCTCTGGGACACCATCGTCTTCTTCAAGAAGGGCAAGTTCTATGAACTCTACGAGAACGATGCCACCATTGGCCACCAGCTGTTCGACCTCAAGCTCACCGACCGTGTCAATATGCGTATGGTCGGAGTCCCAGAGGCGAGTCTGGATCTATGGGCGAACCAGTTCCTTGCCAAGGGCTTCAAGATTGCTCGCGTGGATCAGATGGAGAGTGCGCTTGCGAAGGAGATGCGAGAGCGGGATGATTCGGGCCCGAAGAGCAAGAAGGAGGAGAAGATCATCAAGCGCGAGCTGGCCAGTGTGCTGACGCTGGGCACCCTCGTCGACCCCGGCATGTTGCAAGACGACATGGCCACGTACTGCGTTGCCATTAAGGAGTCTGAAGAAGATGGTCGCCCGGTTTTCGGTATCGCCTTTGTCGACACCGCCACCGCTCAATTCCAGCTCTCGGAATTTGTCGATGACGTCGACATTACCAAGTTCGAGACCTTCGTCGCTCAGATTCGACCTGCTGAGCTTCTGCTCGAAAAGGTATGGAGTGTTCTTTCGTATGTTTCGTTAATTAACACCCCTAGGGTTGCATCTCTACTAAAGCGCTTCGTATCTTGAAGAACAACACCGGGCCTACTACGCTCTGGAACTACCTCAAGCCTGGCAAGGAGTTCTTGGAGGCCGACGTTGCTTGCCGCGACATTGATGGGAGCGACTACTTCAAGTCGGATGACGGAGCTAATGCGTGGCCCAAGGCGCTCGAAGAAGCACGCGAGAAGGAGGTTGTGATGTCCGCCTTCGGTGCATTGCTCCAATATCTCCGTCTTGTTAAACGCGACCAGGAGCTCATCTCCCTCGGGAACTTTACCTGGTACGATCCGATTCGTAAGGCTACTAGCTTGGTTCTGGACGGGCAAACCCTCATCAACCTCGAGATCTTCGCAAACACCTTCGATGGTGGCGCCGAGGGAACCTTGTTCCAGATGATCAACCGTTGTGTCACGCCCTTCGGCAAGCGCATGCTGCGGCAGTGGGTCTGCCACCCGCTCGCCGATGCCGCTAAGATCAATGCGCGCCTTGACGCCGTCGAAGCCATCATGGCCGATTCCGCCTTAACCAGCAACTTCACGTCATCCTTGAGCAAGATTCCTGACCTCGAGCGCCTGCTGTCTCGTATTCATGCTGGCAGTATCAAGGCGCAGGACTTCGTCCGCGTTGTCGAGGGCTTCGAGCAGATCGAGTACACGATGAGTCTTTTGGACGAACTTCCTGCGGGCGAGGGTGTCATCGGGCAGCTGCTGTCGTCGATGCCTGACCTGGCTGGCAAGCTGGACTTCTGGAAGGACGCCTTCGACCGCACCAAGGCGCGCGAGGAGGGTATCCTCGTGCCGCAGCGTGGTGTCGAAGAGGACTACGATGAGAGCCAAGACAAGGTCAACGGCATCTTGAGCGAGCTGGACGCCTACCTCAAAGAAGTGCGCAAGAAGCTCTCCTCCAGCTCCATCGTCTACCGCGACAACGGCAAGGAGATCTACCAGCTCGAGGTGCCGGTCAAGATCAAGACCGTGCCCAAGGGCTGGGACCAAATGTCCGCCACCAAGCAAGTCAAGCGCTTCTACAGCCCCGAGCTGCGGAACCTAGTTCGGCGTCTACAAGAAGCGCAAGAAACGCACGGCCAAATCTCACGCAAAGTAGCCGGCCGCGTCTACGCCCGCTTCGACGAAGACTACACCATCTGGCTCGCCGCCGTCCGCATCATCGCCCAACTCGACTGCCTAATCAGTCTCGCAAAAGCATCCTCCAGCCTCGGATCCCCCAGCTGCCGCCCTGAGTTCGTCAACTCCGCGCGCACAGTCGTAGAATTCGAAGACCTGCGCCACCCATGCATGATCGCCAAAGTCGACGACTTCATCCCTAATGATATCAAACTCGGCGGCTCCGCGCCGCTCATCGACCTCCTCACCGGCGCCAACGCAGCGGGTAAATCGACGGTCCTGCGCATGACCTGCATCGCCGCCATCCTCGCCCAGGTCGGGTGCCACCTACCCTGCGCATCCGCGCGCCTCACGCCTATCGACCGCATCATGTCGCGCCTCGGGGCTTTCGACAACATTTTCGCCGCGCAATCGACGTTCTTCGTCGAGCTCTCCGAGACCAAGAAAATCCTCGCCGAGGCCACGCCGCGCTCCCTCGTTATCCTGGACGAGCTGGGCCGGGGGACGAGTAGCTACGATGGCGTGGCGGTGGCGCAGGCCGTGCTGCACGATGTTGCGACGCGGATTGGGTGTGTTGGGTTCTTTGCTACGCATTACCACAGCCTCGCTGCTGAATTCGCGGGACATCCGGAGATCCGCCCGGCGCGCATGGCGATTGAGGTCGATGAGGCGGAGCGCCGCGTGACCTTTTTGTATAAACTCGAGCGCGGCGTTGCGGAGGGCAGTTTCGGCATGCATTGCGCGGCGATGTGTGGCATTCCGCGGAAGGTGATTGAGCGGGCGGAGGTTGCGGCCCGCGAGTGGGAGCATACGAGTCGGCTCAAGGATAGTCTGGAGAAGGCGAGGAGTGCGTGTTATATCCCGCTTGGGATGCAGAGTGATGTGGCGTGGGTTATGAAGAGTGGGAAGGGGGAGGAGGGGGCGGTGGGTGAGAGGACGCTTGAGGTGCTGCGGAAGGCGATTGCGGGGTTGTAGAGGCTTTTGCCTTTGTCTAGATGTGGTGTTCTGTTGTTCGGAGCAAATTGTGGGATGGGCGGTGTTCGTATGGCTGGTAATCTGAGCAATGTCTAATCTGTATCCTCACTGTGGCGATCGTATGTCCGTCGGATCGATAGTGCCTAGTTCATGTACTAGTGAGTACATGGAATGGTCCGGATAGGATGCCCACCATCAGCATGCTTGAGCAACACCAGCCCCTTTAGCTCAGTTGGTAGAGCGCGGCACTAGTACCTGTTCACAACAGTCAATGCCGAGGTCGATAGTTCAACTCTGTCAGGGGGCAAGCTTAAGCAGCTTGATTCTTTGTTTTTTTTTTATCTCAACATTTTGGTCCCGCTGCCTTGGGCATTGAGTCGCGGTTGTCACTCGTTGGGACTGACCGTAAGCATAGTATTTGATGAGACACCTTAAATCACAAGCATGCATCCCACACATCACATCAACAAGGTAAATGGGGGGAACGATGAGTTATCATGAGCCAGTACCTATCCAGAGCCGCTGTCTGAATAAGTCTAAAACGAGCTCAAGGAAATATATGAACTGTGCAACTGGGGGTATAACAAGCCACCGAGAACGCCATCAGCTATGAAAAATGCAAGCGGAAAAGGTCGTGTCCTCTCATTCGCACATCTCCATACTAAGCCCGCACAACCGTGAAACCCAGATATGCGCTAGTGACGAATCAAATAGCGTGTCTGGCAGTTTCGGCCTGAGAAGGAGAAGGCAGGGGAGCCTCAGTTTGGGATCGCTCAGCAGCCGCTCAAAAGCGTTTGCCATGGTAAGGATCTGCTTAAACGTTAGCACTGGTCAAATCCGGAAGGGGGATTATACTTTTCGAGCGACCTTGAGACGAAGTACCCGGAGCAAGTGTGCTACCCTTGGTGATTTTGCTAGCGGGCTTCTTCGTGGGTTTGCTGGTGGATTCGGCAGTGCTGCTCGGGGTGGAGGAGCTTCCCGGTAGCGACTGGCGAGACAACTTAGAGGAAGACCTCTTCTTGACCTTTTCACCTGTCCCGTCAAGATTGCTGGGAAAGCTCTTTCTGACCGGCTTAGGCGGAACAACGAAACCGCCATTGCTGTTAAAGCTAGAGGCGGGCTTCGCAGGGACCTCAGGTTTCGTAGCCTGAGGCTTTGTAGTTTTGACGATCGTGCCGGGGCGAGGGGGTTTGCTGGAGGCGGGCTTGATCAGAGTTTGGCGCGCCGTGGCCTTCGAAGTTGGAGCGTCGGGGTTACGCGGCGCCACAGCTGGATTGACATTGCCGTTGGTGGGTTTCTCGGAAACCTTAGCTTTCTCAATGTCAGCTTCGATGTCAGGAGTGGGAGACATTTCCTGGTCGGTCACCAGTGCTGAGTCTACTGCAGATAGGACTTTGCCGTTAGTCACGTTCGTCAAGGAAGCACCGGCCATGCCGTTAGCTGCTTCAATGGTACGCTGCTTCTTCGCAGGAAGACGCTGAGGCGTATCAAAAGCCTTGCGACGAGGGGCGTGGGAGCGAGCCAGAACACCTGAGACATCCGTAGTAGTAGATACGGAAGGAGTACTACAACGTTAGAGTACATACGAGATTGGGTTTGAGATACATACCGGCTGGCTTCAGGAGACACAATGGCTCGCATGGCCTCCAACGTCAGAACACGGGTCGTGTACCGCGGAGTGATGGTCCCATAGTAGTACTCAGAATAAGGAACTGGTTCTTGCCCATTCCTCACGAGATCAATCACGTAAGGAAGGTAGTCTTTGTCATGTCGAATCACGTAGTCATCCCAAAGGGATGGATGGGGACGGAACTCGGACGCCGAGCTCGCCTCAACGCAGATGTTCTTGAAATGGCCGATATTTCCGTGATACTCGGGGTACACTACGGAGAACTCGAGATATATCTCCTCAAGACTGGGAGCTTGGGCGGATGTCGGGACGAGCGCCCATGCGTGACCGCGTGAACTGACTGATATCGGAGACGCCTGCTGGAAGGACGTTGGATCAACCTGCATAGGCGATGCGGAACGATGCTGGAAAACAGTTGGGGATGGCTGCGCAGACTGGGGCTGCGACCCTTGAGTAAAACCAGGCGACTGGTATTCCAGGACGCGTGCCAGCGACTTATGAGAGGAAACTGCAGAAGGTTGTCGAAGAAACGGACTCTGTTGCTGGATAGGGGTCCGGGCGCCGCTTGCGTTTGAAAAGGCATGAGGGCTCTCTGGAAGAGAGTGTTGAGACTCAATAGAGTGGCGCCGGGGACCTGGCAGAGATGGAGAAGGGACGAATCCAGGACTGATAGACGGCTCACGATTCATTATGCCGGCTCCAGATGCCGTTGGGGTTTGGGCATTCGGACCCTGCTCAGATCCTCCGTTGGGTGTCTGGTGTGCAGGAAAAGAATTGTCCTGCCCCATTGCCCGTAATTCCGCGTTCAACGATGCTCTGTTGGAAAATCCGACTGCTTCTGGTTGCGACGCAGCATGCATGTGCTCCGCGGTGGACAGTTCATGAGAACCAGTAGGTGCACTAGACAAGCTGCGTCTGCGGGCGTGAATTGCCGACAACCCGGAGCTCGGCAGGGCTGAGGTGCTCAAAGCCGACGACGCAAACGCAGCGCGGTAGCTTGATGACGACCGCAAAGGGGATGAGTTGGTTGCGGGTAAATTCGTCCCAAAGCTTTGCGTCTGGAATAATTCATGGACTTCGTTACGATGCTGCACTTGTGTTGCCACCGCAGCATCCATCGCACTCTGGACGGGGTCTCGGCTAATAAAAGTCTTCTCAGCCGACATGGGGGAGATACCAGGAGGCTGAAAGCTGGTGGGAGCACTGTGCTTCGCAGATTGACCAGTGTATTCCAGCGACGATTGCGGAACAGATGTGGTGGAGGTGCTGGACTGGAGCCGCTTAGCAAGTCGGACCTGCGGCGTGTCTTCTACTTCGACTACGACGTCAATGTTTACATTCGTCTCTACTGCTGTTTCGAGGGCTCGGGGAACATCCATTTCCATTTCCATTTCACTGTCCTCTTCCTGGAGATCTTGACGCTTCTGGAGCCGTTGTTGTACATCGGCTGACTCGGCAAGCGGCCGCTTCTGATGCTCCTTGTGGCGCATATTGCCGGCATGGCCCAAATCTCGCACGGGGGAAGAATCTGGTGGAAGATCAGTGCCAGACGGCAAAGCGTCATCGTGTGCCCGCAAAGTAGGCGACAGTGGCCACTCGTCTTCGCCCAACGCCTCGGAAGAGTCAGAATCAGAATCAGTATTGTTGACGTTTATTGCCTCAGCCACTTTCGGAGTGTCTGCATTCTTCGGCATAGCCGAAGCACGATAACGCTCATACCACAAAGTCGGCACGTTGAGAACTGGGAATGAGACACCAGGGTGCTGTGGAAACCAGGAGGTGCGTTTCTCGAGAAGCTCCTCTTGATCCTTTGGAATAACTGTGAGCGTCCGAGTGATACGAGCAAAGCTGCTCCATGGATCAGATTTCTCAACCGCAGGACCCTTGGTCGATACAACGGTGGACAACGCGGCGTCGGGCTCAGCAGTTACAACTGACTCGGGAGCATTGAGTGCAGATGGGACAGATTCAAGCTCGTCAAGATGGACTGGGTTGTCTTTTGTGGCGCCGAGTGTCGTCTCGAGGTTCAGGGCCGAGTCTCCAACTAACATGCCCGACTGCACGTTGAACGTGAGAAGCGACTCCGATGGGCCATTGGTCAGGTTTGTAGATACCGTACCACCCCAGTCAAAATCCGGGAGCTCCTGCTTAATCACTGGCGTGATTTGACCATCTTGCAGAGGGGGCTCTGGACCCCGAAGAGATGCTGTGTTGTGCACAAACTGTGTGGCGAATTGACTCTCTCCTACCCCATTAGGGGGCGCCATCTCAATCTCACAGAGCCGATCCAATTCTCTTATGAACTCCACGATTTTGGGAAGTGTCGCAGCCCAAGGTGGCTTATTGGGAATGGAAGACTTTCCGGTCACTGAGAACTTTTCCACGATGAGCTTGACGGCAGAATCAACACCGCCGTAGCAGGTGAAGATCAGCTCGAACTCATGTAATTCAATGATGGCACCCGGAGAGAGCTGGTTGAGCTGCGGGACCGGTAAAGCCTGCAGCGCACCGGGGGTGATGGATACTGCGATAGATACATAATCGTCGGAGAGGATAGCATTCCGATAGGAAGTCGGGTCCGGCTTGTTTTGGACCTACTGATATCAGCAAGTTCCGCAAAGGAAAATTGAACGCGACTTACGTCAATGATGTGCAAGACGTATGGGCCTCCTTTTTTCGAAGTGAATGTCGCGTGGACGTCGGCGTCGGTATACCTTGCGCCCGTCGAGCGATTGGTGAGCGGTGGAACTGTTTTTGAAGCACTGCGCCTCCAGGAAAGGAGGGGGTGAACCTCCTCGACAATGAATGTAGCAAGCCAATTATTCATGGACTGTGACGCGTCGTAAGGGAGTCGGGGAGTAGGTTGCGTCTCCATGGTGGCAACGGTGGTGAGGGGAGGTGTTGCGGAGTAAAGAATGGAGTGAGGTTGAGAAGAATGTATGGCTGCAGTAAGCTACTGTAAGGGTTGTACTCCCATGACTCAATTAGCGACAGGCCAAATCGTCGCGATGTGGTCAAGATGAGAAGGATAGAGGCGGCATATCGAAGGTGCGTTGGGCACGTAGTATGGAGTTGCGGCAGGAAGTTTGGACTGCGTTTCGCGACACCACGGGGTCACGCGTCTGTGGCGGGGTCCTGGAACATCGTTGTTCCCCTTCCGCCTGCCATGTCGTCAGACGTCGATCTTGAGCCTGACTTCAAACGAGGCATGCGCATCTCGTTCAAAGACATTCCCTCCTGCTTGATTTCAAACACCTGACCGCTCTCTTTTGCTTCTTCAACAACGGTTCGCCTTTCAACCGTTCGCCGGTTTCCACTCCTTCCCAAGGCCTTCATGTCCGCTTCCACTTCCCTCCGCCCCAAAGGTACTCACTCAGTCACCCCGCCCTCTGCCTACTTTCACCAGCGCGTCTCCAAGCTGACTCCCGAGTCGCAGAATCCTCCACCGCTCATATCCGTCAACTTCCTTGTCTGACGGGTGATCCCACATGCTGGCTGGCGCGCTGAGCCTCGCCGGTCACCATGGCTCGATCGCGCAGTCCGTCCGCCTCCTCCGCCCTCTCCTCTATATCCTCTCGGCCGACGCTGGACAAAGAGGCGCTGTCGCTTGCCCTGGACCAGATTCACACTTCAGCTTCTCGAACCGATACCCTCACTACGTTCGATGACTTCGCCGC